ATGTATGCAGTGTATTATTTGTTGAAACTGTACTTTCGATTTGATTTGAAACTGTCTCATTGCTATATGTTTATCAATAAAACTTTGAAAAGAAAATAAAAATAAATAAATTTTCCCAAACATTTTGTTCTTTAAATTTACATTTGAATGAAAGAAGTACCTGGAGACACATTATTTTTAAAATTAGTGCAGAGTATAGGTTAATGGAAAGGCTTTACCTATGACTTTATTCTTCTTTCCATTTTTTATAGGTGTACAAAGCAAACTTCTAATGCACTGCTGGTTTACATTTCCTGTGTTTTCATTCTAAACAGAAACAGAAGTGAAACACAACAAAATGATAGAGATTAACTTGTCTCAATGCACACTCAAAAGGAATACATTTATCTCTTATTAGCTCAATACAAAATAGAAGCACAGAAAATGCCCAAATCATAAATCAGTTTACCTAAACACAATATAAAGCAATAGTCTACTTTATTGAAAATAATATTCCAGATTTCTTTTCTTTCTTTCTTTTTCTTTCTTCTTGTATTTAGGACAGGATGTACAGGGTGTACAGGGTATACAGGGTCTCACTGCATAGATTGGACTCATAGTGATCCTCCTGTTTACAGCCTCCCAAGTGCTGGGATTACAGGTACGCACCACCACGCCCAGTCTCAATCTCCATCTCAGCGCGCCCTGGGGACAGGGCTGGCACGGCACTTCCCAAGTGGTTTATAATAATATTAAGTAAAGTTTGTAGTAATATTTAGTCAGTATATTTATTCAGTATCTACTTTACTAGTGAAGTACATGATTCTTCTGAAAAAGAGGGGCAGAATCCAGAAACATCGAGCCACCCAGCAAGCTGTATGCAACAAGCACGTCCTTCTTTGGGGACACCACTGGGTCTACTGCCCGTTCCTGGCAAGCTCTGCAAAGGTTGCCATGATACACAAGCAGCAAAGTCAAGACAGGTGCTTCAAAGAGCAATGCTTTTCTGCAATGAGATGAAAGAAAATACTAGAATTCAATGTTTTCAGAGTCTGAAGACGAGATCTTCCTTGCTTCACTGTGAAGGAAAAGAGATATCCATTTCCCCACAGAGACCCTCACTCGGTAGATATGTAATTTAGACCAAATGAAACTTAATTTCCGTGAATAAAATAAAAACTCCAATAATACTATTTAGAGACTGCCAAAGTCAGTATGTAGGTAAACTGTCTCACAACTGGTATATAATTGATCAATACACATTTCAAAACTGGAAGAAAATAGAGAAGAATACTCAAATGTAGCTTGCAATAGTGTGTTATGAGCTACTCTAGTCTCCTTTGTTAGACCAGGAAGCGCAGATCAGCCTACTCAACAATTCCAGAGTGAGTCCTTCCGCTGTAGCGCAGCTTTAAGCAAGGTCTGATGGGAAAATGGCCTTCCAGCTCCAAGGCTAAAACTGAGTTACTTACTGTCCAGGGAAACCTTTGGTCCTTGCTGACATCTGGAATATTAAGTGGTTCCATGGTGTTCTTGACATACTGGGCATACATGTAATTGATTTTGTTCGCATCACGTTCCCTGTGGAAACAGCGGCTATGAGTTCCTTCTGTGCAGGGAGAACATGTGAGCAAGCAGAGCCAAATAAAGGGGGAAAAGGAAGCAGCACCAGTTTTAACTTGTGCAGCAGAAATTGTGTCTTAGTTGGAAAATACAGCCCCTGGCCCCAACCCCGGTTCTGGGGATTGAGCCCAGGGGCCTGGCACTGAGCTGCATCACAATTTTCAACAAGAAAAAGAGAACAAAACGAAAATACAGGAAGCTTTTATTTTGAGACAGGGTCTCACTAAGTCATTTAGTTTCCAGGGCAAAGCAACTGTCTCTCCTCCTGCCCAGCTTCCCAGATAGTTGGGATTACCGGCATGCACCGCTGTGACGCTTTAAATACACTTGAGGATGTACAGCTTCAGTAGTGCTGTAGTTTAAATGTTTTGAAATGACAAAAATTCAGTGTTTCAACTATCTAAAACCAAAATGTTGTTAGCAATCATAATATAGGTGAAGAATCTATAACCTAAAAATGCACAATCTGAAGATACAAAAAGAGCCAAAATCCAAAACTTTTTTTTTTTTGGCAGAGCCGGGGATTGAACTCAGGCCCTTGCAATTGAACTCAGGCCCTTGCACTTGCCAGGGAAGCACTTATTCCACTGAGCCATCTCCCTGGCCCCTCCAAAACTTTTTTAAAAAATTAATTTAATTTAATTTTTAAATAATTTTATTGAGAAATAACAATGAGACAGTTTCAAAACCAATTACTAGCACAGTTTCAATAATCAATACATTGCAGATTGTTGTTTTAGTGGTTATTCATTGTACAAGATGCAGATATGATATCCTGTCCACAGACACTATTAGAAAAAAAATCTTTCTGTTCATTGAATTAAGAGAATGCAGCTGTATATCTATCTTATTTTAAATATACAAATACAAAAAAATGGTTGTTCATTTTTATCCCCCTTTTTTGTTTAGTTTTGTCAGAGAAGGGTATTCCATTGTTATTTAAACATTGTAGGTGTATGAATTCGGCAAAATATTCCAATATAGTCCAATAGTCCATAATAGTAGTGGGTTTTCCATAAGACAGGCAATGTCAGAAGTTGTTGACTTGAGCCTTTTACAGCTCAGCATAAAATATGGCTTTACTTTTTATACTTTGTTCTTATACTTTTCTGCTGAATGGTTAAAACTAAGATAAAGCAAAACCTATATAACAAGAAATGTAACTAAGATAGATTTTTTTTTTTCAGAACTGAGGATTGAACTCAGGCCCTTGGGCTTGCCAAGGAAGCACTTATTCTACTGAACCATCTCCCTGGCCCCTAAAATCCAAAACTTTTAACACTAGTGTAAAGCCACAAGGAGAGAACTGTACACCTTGCCTTCTATGGTGAGTGGCAGTTGAAATGCAGGCTTGTTAAAAGTATTGTACAAAATTACCTCCAGGCTGTATGTGTTAGGTGTATATTAAACATAAATGAATTTTGTATTCAGACTTAGGTCTCAAAATATCATATTATGTTTATGCAAATATTCCAATATAAAACAACCCAAAATCTACTGTACTTCTGGTCCCAAGCATTTCTGATAAGGAATAGTCAATCTGTGCTGCCGAAAATGTGATAGAGCCTGAAGGTAATTTTGTACAACACTTTTAACATGCCCGCATTTCAACTGCAAGTCGCCATAGGCAAGGTGTACAGTTCTTCCCTTGTAGCTTTATGTTAGTGCTCAAAGTTTTGGATTTTGGAGCTTTGTGGATCTTCAGATTGTGCACTTTTAGGTCACAGATGCTTAACCTACTACAGTCAATATGAAATCCATGTGGGTATCTCCCCCTTCTTTTTTTTCCTCAGAGATTATAGATGACAAGGTCTAGGGCTTTATATCCTCAGTTGTTTATTTTATTTTATTTTACTTATTTTTATGTATTTTTAGTACAGGGTCTACAGGGTCTCACTACACAGCTCAGACTCTTAGTGATTCTCCTGTTTTCAGCCTCCCAAGTGCTGGGATTACAGGCGTGCAGCCATGCCCAGTCTCAATTGCTGTTTCTCAGCATGCTCTGGGGGTGGGGCCAGCACACCACCCTGGGGATCAAACCCCAGTCCCTGCAGCTGCCTAAGCAGGCACTTTAATCCACTGAGCTATCTGGCCAGCCCTTTCAGTTGTTTATTTTGTGGGTATCTACACAATAGAATAAGCCTGTATACCTTCTGTGACCGAGGAAATTAGGAAGGAGGTCCAGAACATTCTTTCTAAGCTTTTCTTTCGTTGAGTCTCTCTCTTCATTCTCTGTCTTTTCCTTACCTCCTTCTCCTTAAGATATTGCCTATGTTTCAGTTCCTCTCTGTACTCTTTTGTGTTCTGTGGTCTTTTATGACACTTTTTAAATCAAAAGTGGACAATATTTTCACCAGTGTTTCAACCTTTCGCTTACCAGTTTGGAACCAAGTATAAACGGATGACAGAGGGCACAGTATCATTCTTGGGGGGAAAGGGACACAGGATAGCGTGGGTGCTTGCACATGGAAGCTCCCTGCATTCCCTGGGAGCTGGGGTGAGTGTGGTGGGCTGCTCCAGGAGCAGGGCTATGCCCAGCTAATATCATTAACTGAAGGAATAGGAAAGACTTGTAGCAGCAGATACTGAAAAATCTGCAACTCAGGAAAAATGTCCACTTGATTTAGCTCTTCGGACTCCCAACAGTTTGCTTGCCTTTTGTTCTTCACACTGAGCATTCCCAAGCTACCTGCTTGGTCAGGGGTTTCATGCTGTCTTCTCCTGCACCCGTGTTTCCACAAAGACTCCGGAAGTCTGGGTCTCATTCTTGGCCATGATATTTTTGTTTTCCCTCCCTTTGCTACTTATTTTAGCTTGAGAATAATTTAACCAAACTGTGTACTAATCACTGGCAAGGGTTATATGTAAGTGGCAAATGAATATAAAGAGAGTGACAGGATAGTAGCACATGACTAAGTGAAGATTAGATGGAATATGTCTCAAGAATATACCAATAATCTGTAAAACTACACAAGGCATCGTGTGTATTATACCTAGTAACACACTTTCGGTGTCTTATTCCCTACATACTATCTGGAGGCTATTCAAGAAAAGGTTATGAGGTAGGTACAGGTTTTAGGTTAATACAGAGACATCCAAAGTCAAAACATCCTATCAATAACAGACTAGGGCAAAGAAAATAAAAAGTAGCTATAGCAAAAGCAAGGAAAATAAAAACATGGCCAGCAGGAAAAAAAGTTCACTGGAGAAGTAAGAAGTTTTGTACAAGCCCCTTGAGAAGTGATAATAATAGTATACCTGTTACTGTTTTATCCCCATCATTATGTTCAAAGGAGGAGCCAGAAGAAATCCGAAACATTTAAGCAACTTGTCGGAACTCATAAACTCAGACTTATAGGAATCGACAGAGAGAAGTACTACGATCACGCATGAATGAACAGATCCCTAATCTCCTTCTTAATTTCTTGAAAACTTCAAATTTTCCTGCTGCTTACTTAGCCCACACGCCACAGGCCTCTGTCACTGGGAGCCTTCAGTCTCGGAGCAAGCTGAGGCAGATGAGTAACACGAAGTTTTCCCTACACACGCTGGCTGGGTAGAGCCCAGTGCAGGGCTGCCCACAGTCGGTCAGGAACTCTTCCCTTCTCCCGTCTGCACACGGAGCCACTTAGAACAAGACCAGTTGCATTTCTTAGTGCTACCAAGAGACTGGGTTCCAATCAATAAGGAGGCAATGCATGTTGCCTAAGAATCCCACCTAAGAGATGCTAGAGAAAGATCCACGCCCATCCTTTTCCTGTTCTCCATTCTACCATTTCAAACACTGATATGATGGTTGGAACTGCATCCTTGACCCTGAACAGAAGGCTCAGAATGCAAGGTAGGAAGCCCAAAGGCACCCAGGTCCCTGAAGGCTTGTATAACACAGCTGAAGCACCAGCCCCGAGCTGCCTCCCTCTAAGCTTTTCCAGCAAAGAGTAATACTGTGTTCTTTATTGCTTAAATTGTTTTTGAGTTTTCATGATTCACAGTTAAATCCAGCTGACCACAGTGCAAACGCCATACTTGTAGCAAAGATGGACACATCCATAGCACCAGTGGGCAGGCTTATGGAAGAGATGGCATTGCAAAAATGCACAAACAGCTGGCTGAGTCATAGAAAGGAAAGAAAAACATCAGGAATGGAAGGAAGAGTGGAAAAAGCAGCCAATATAAAACACATTGCTGAAGGGAGAGAGTCCTATGCATATCTGGAAAACACTAAACAGTTACAGATTGTGTCTGGAATAATAAAAATGATAGCTTCATGTTGAAAATGTTAGGTTGAAAAGATCATGGAAGATTCTGACAGTGTACCACAATGAATATAGATGTCATCTTCTAAGTAACAGGAACCTTACAATGGCTTGGAGGGTGTGACCTCCTGGGGCTTCAGCTGCAGGAAGCATAACTGAGCAGCATCTCGGGCTTGCTGTGCTCTGGCATGCAGCAGCAGGTGTGCACGGAGGCCACACCTCCTAGGCCACACCTCCTAGGCCACACCTCCTAGGCCACACTTCCTAGGCCACACTTCCTTGGCCACTCCCATGCAGAGGGAACACACCAGGCGCACCCAGGGAGCACTATTCTTGGGGGACCCAGGCCTCCAGGGGCAGAACGTTTTGGCTAGCAGACCTCCCACCACCACGGCCAGACTTGCCCTGGAGCTCTCAGCCACCTGAGACGCTTGCATACAACCTCTCCCCAGCCAGTCTGGGTCAAATTGTCATAGTGGGCTGATGGCCTTCCTGTTCTCGCCTGCATGCTCCCCATCCTCACTTTCACAGGTATTTTCTTGATCAATTTCTGGACATTTACACCAGTCTTGGCATCAACCTCTTGGAAAACCTGGGCCAAGTCAGACATCTAAGTCTTCTGCATATGGGTGGGTATCAATGATGGAGCATCAGAGCGGATTTCTGGGAAGGTTAGAAGCAGGGACAGGGAACTTCAAAAGA